TGATTTTACATTTACCAGTTCATTAATTGTCCCAACAATCAAATGAGAGGCATACTTCACAGATAATAGATGTGTCAGCATACACTGCAAGTAATAGTATCTAGATTTAAATACAGATAGTCTGATTCTGAGTCCAGCCTTACAACAATCGTGTTTTACTGGCCCACATAGGTATGGATAACCTAGACTAGAAAGATGTACATTAGAAAGCTATCAATTGTTTTTAGGGTTAGGATTTTTAGACCCTAAATGTCCTCCAAGAGCTCATGGGTTGAAGACTTGGTCTCCAGCTGGTGGTGCAATTGGGAGGAAGTGGAAGCATTAGGAGGTGGGGCCTATGAGAAGGAAGTTAGATCATTGGGTCTTGAAAGGGACACTGGGATCCAGCCCCTTTCTCTCCTGTTTTCCTTGTTTCCTGGCTGCCATGAGGTGAGCAGCTTGGCTCTACCACGTGGTCTCTTCTCTGCCATGATATTCTGCCGTGACATCAACAGACCCAAAGCAATAGGCCAAAGGACCATGGACTGGACTCTCTGGAACTATGAGTCAAAATAGACTTTTCCTTTAGAAGCTGATTTTCTCAGGCATTTTGTGACAGTGATGAGAAGTTCAGGAACACACTATAGCTACCAGGTGATTTTGACCTCATTCAATATGTTGCTCATATTGCTCATTAATTGTCCCACAATTCCACATTCTTTATTTGATAATCAGAACATTTCAAAGCTTATTGGGCAAAGAAGCTGAAATTTGCTTAGCAAAGAAAATATGGTTTTCTCAGGGGCCAAAACTATTCAAAGCCAGATGTTGATGTTAGCCAGGGTTGGTTCCAGTGCTGTTCAGATCCAAATCTGAGGCCGCCCAGGTTAACCCCATCTAAAGGCTGAGGATCTGTTGCCACAGTCAGATCATTGGGAACAGAAGAGGTCTGTGGGGAGCCAGGCTGGAGAGCAGTTCCTGTCTCTAAGGCTCACCTGATCAGAGCGTCTAATTCTCCGCTTTTTCTTTGCTTAGCACCATCTACCTGTGTTTGTGAGATCCTGGCTGATTCATTCCATCATCCTCTGCTCCCATTTACAAGTCCCTGGAGATAGAATATTTTTCAGTTGTGTTAAAGTGAATACTCATTTTTGATCATTTCTTTACCCTTCAGATGCAGGAACAAATATCAAAGTCTCCTTGAAGCTGGTGTGTGGCCCTCATCAAAACAGGCCTGAACTTGGGGTTCACCAGACCTCAATTAATATCCCAGGTCTGTCACTTATGAGCCTCACCTATATAGGGCAAGATGCTAGGGAGAGCGGATTAGCACACTACATTGTTTTTGTCGTCATTATTAGCAAAAGTAATAAATTAGATATGAGCCCAGAGGTTCCAACAAAAGACCTATTGCTACCTCTCCTGCAGAACATGCTACAGAAACGAGGTGACAGTGGACTCCAATATCTTATTGAAATGACATTCCCCAACTCCAGGGGCTAGGGAGCTTGCTGCTATCACAGAAGCCCCTTTGGCCAGGCTTTTGAGTGTCACTTACACCAGTTTGGAAGTAATCTGCTTGCTCGCCCTTCCAGCAAAGGATGTCATGATCAGCTAATGGAAAGTGACAAGAAGGAATATAATGAATGAGAGGGAGTTAAAGTTTGGGACAAAAAAAAGAGCCTTGTTCTTTTGGGGAATGCACAGTGCTAAGCATACCATGTTAAATCGTGCGTGTCAAATAATGGACTAATTAAGGACCTTCATCCATTTTTTTCACATCCCATTTCTTGTTGTCCTTTAAAAGATGTATTTTCAAATTAGCTCTCAGCTCTCCTGATAAGTACCAACAGGAAAAAAAAAAAAGAAACTCGATCTATTAGAGAAGCAAATGATAAACAGAAAAGACATGGGAAAGGAGGTGGGGGTTTATGGGAGATGCTGGGAAGTTTTATAATTTTAGCAGCAACTTCTTGAATAATGGAATTTAATAACGTATAATAAACTATGATCCAGGAGAACTCTGATTCAATCCCACTAATTGTTTGAGCCAGGAAAATGAAGGCAGAGTTTATCATGCCAACATGCTGCTAGTGCCACGGAGCACCACAGGGAGCAGAGACTGTTCCCAGCTACCCACCTCCTTGAGCCCAGGGGGCACCTGGCCCCCGCCCTCCCCACGCTGGGCTGAAATCTCTCACTTCCAAAGACAATTCTAGTTCTAGGACTTCAAAGTCACAGAAATGAAATTTTTGCAATCAACAAACTATTGTATTAAGCAAAGAACACAACGGTAACTAGATACAAAGCCTCCAATTAGGTTATAAAGAATAATAACTAATATGCACTCATGGTAATGCCAGAAAGTACAAAAACCTATAATAAATTTAATTGAGCACATGATCATAAGCACTGTTTTTCTAACTACACCATTCTGCTATATTAAGGTAGACTCCAAATAGAGAAACACATTTTCCCATTGTTATTGAATAAAGTGCTTTTCCTTGTCTTCCTAATTTGGATCATTTTACCAATGGCAAAAACTGAGAAGGTATAATTAAGGAAAAAAGTATTTTCTCTATGGTTACTCATTGGTTATATTTAAGCATAAAAATGAATGAAGAAATTAAAGCAATTATCAGGATAATTCAGTCCTCTAAAAGGTTAAAGTTTTCTAATAAAAATATATTGTTTTGTCTAAAATATTAAGCTAATAGCGTAGTCTACCACTTTATTTCATAAGTGTGGGTCTGTTGATGAAAATCCTTTGCAATCAGTTTCAAGAGTTCTTTAGGTTTTTCTGACAATTAAGTGTATATTCTTTTGATACACAAGCCCAATGGACCTCAGAAATAATCAGAAGTTCTACAGGGCATTTTGCAGAGCAGCTATTTAAATTAAACCAAAAAGTTAAGAATTCTTAAGTATTTCCTTCCCTTTCCCAAACAGGTACATGAAGCTCTGATGGCTACATTTGGAGGCAGGAGGAGGAGTGAAATTCCACTGTAAACTGACGTCTAGAAACAGGGAAATTAGTATTGTGCCAGAGCTATGAGTAGCTAATAAAGAGAACACAGTTAAAAGAGATTAAGGTCCAAATGAAGGTCGGAAAAGAGCCCTTTCTCATCACACGGCAGTTTCAGTGAGACAGCCCCTGCCCCCCGAATCCGACTTAAGTTGAAAATGTGCACTGTTGGGGTTAATAAACAGGCTGCACATTTGTTTGGACCAAGACACCAATTAAAATGTTATTTGGGGCAGCCGGAGCTAATCCCTTACTTCGAGGTAAACCAAACTGACTTGTAAGAGGATGGAGAAGAGGAAGAGAGGAGGAAGAGAAAGCAGAACTAGCCCCTAATCCGTTGGGCGCTGCATCCCTGGCAGGGGGACCACGCCCGCTGGCCCGGGGCCGGGGCATTCTGAAGGGCTTTGTGACGGCAGCCAGGCAGTGAGGGCTTCAGGTTTGTCACTGTGGCCCCGGGCAAGGAATCCAGTGTTCAGCGGAGCCTTCTCTGAGACAAAGACAAAAGTCTGGTTGGTGTAGCAGGCCAAGTCAGGGCTTTTTCTTCTCTAGTGCCACAAATGGGTGGGACCAAGAATTCCAGGTTTAGTCTAATGCCTCCACCCCAGAGATGAAAATCGATGAATACAGTTGATTGAATTTCTCAGTCCGTACCAATTCGCCCACAGTCAGATAAAAACCACTAGTTTGCCTTTATCTCACTTCTTGAAAGTGAGGGACCACACACACACACACGACCACACACACAACCACACACACGCCCGCAATGTGTTCCTTTCCTCTATCTATGCTCACTCTGATATTCGCAGACATCTCAGGAAAGAGTCTATGTGGGCCGCCCTGGGAAGCCTGGCCAGCAGAGTGGACAAGCTTCCCAAGCTTTCTGCTTCTGCCTTTGCTTTTCTTGAGACAGGGTCTCACTTCTAATCCACGTTGGCCTTGAACTTAACTATGTAGCCCAGGGAGGGCTTGGACATATGTTTTTCCCTTGTCAGCCTACCGAGTGCTTGGCATGGGCCACCACATTTCCCAATTTTTATGCATCTTTCCATCTGTGGAAAAGGGAAGCAGTCAATAAGTTAAAAATAAATGTATAATTAGAAATTGATAGCTTTGAATGAAGCTGGGGGGAATCGAGGTAGATTGTATTTCTCTCTGAACTTTGAATGAACTGATTCCATGACCAGCGATGTGAAGTCCTCATTGCCACCATGTGGAGTGGCTGAGAAAATTAAGCAGCAACTTTTGTTGCAAGGAAATTTTGTTGGGGAGTCTGGGATCTGGTCAGGGAGATAAGCAGAATCAGAGAGAGAAAGAGAGAGAATGAATCCAACACACAGCGGATAAATGCCAAAATGAACTTGGGAGGATGGACTTTGATGTGTGTTTCTCACAGGAATAGAGGGAGAGGGCCAGGCATGGTGGCACACACCTGTAATCTCATCACTCGAGAGGCTGAGTCAGGAGGACTGCAGCAAGTTCGAGGCCAGCCTGGGCTACATATCGAGACCCTGTCTAACAAAGAAAGAAAAGAGAGTGACAAGCTGACAGTTAAAGTACAGAACCAGTAACGAGCCCTTTGGAACTGGGCATGGTGACACACACTTGAGATTCCAGCACTCTGAGAGGCTGTGGTAGGAGGATCACAAGTTTAAGTCCAGCCTGAGCAGCTTAGCAACTTAGTGAGACCCTGTCTCAAAATTTAAAAACAAAGAGAGGTTCAGTCCCTGGTAACATGCAGACACACAAAAGAAAAGACTATCTCACCGAGACCAGGTAAGGCATACAGGGGGCCCAGGGAAGAGCAAAGGAGCCACTGGGGGCCTTGTTTCCTTCCTGCTGTTCAGTGTCTGCCCCAGAACTTTTTCCTACAGAATGGACCCAATTCAGCTCCACCTCCGTTCAAACTGACCCCAACACCCAGTTCCGACTAGGGAGTATATTGACGAGAGCATGAATTCCCCTCTTTTCCAACTCCACCAAAATAAAACGAAATAAATTTGCCAATCAAAATCATTTAATCTTTAGGATATTTGTAAAGAAGATTTTTTTTTTTAAGTGGCACCCAGGGCCTTAAGACCAAGCCACACAGAGCCACGATGAAGAAAGAAAAATAGCACTCTGAAAACTAAACGCCAGCGGTAAGGGGATCGCGATGGAGACGGGAAAGCATCAAGCGGGAAGCCACACGTCTGCGGCACAGCGCCTGACCCGCCACGCGCCGAGTCTGCCAGCCCTGATTGGCTGCCTTAGTTATTTAGCAGCACGGAGGAAGACGACGACTCCTCCACCTCCTGCTCCTCTTCTTCCTCTTCCTCCTCCTCCTCCTCCTCCTGCTCCTCCTCCTCCTCCCTGCAAAATAGTTGATCACTTGATCATCGGTGTAAACAGAAACAGATTAGAACACTGATTCTTCAAACCTTAAATATTTCACTCACCTATCAGTTACAATGTTACCCACGGCAATTAAAGTATGCAAAACTATCGCTGGACCGGTGCGAGTGTAATCAGCCCTAGTGGGGAATCTGGGCGGAGAAAGGTTGAGGAGTAACTCACCCTGTCTCAGTTGCCCTGGGGAAGCTGATGAGAAACATCGCTGTACGTTGTTACACTGCATTATAACATCAGTGTGTGCTGTAACCCAGTTCGCCCATTCTGCCCCTCTCCTTCGGATCTTTGTGACACAGTGTGCTTCCCATTGACAAAGGCTTGTCAGCTACTTTCTAGATACTCCACTCTCTGCGTTGGGATTCTGCCCCGAACAGCCTTCCCTCTCAGCCCCCTCAGCTCATCTTCTGTTTTCCTTGTGCCCTGCCACAGCTTCACTTCTTTCCAGGGTATTCATAGGCCCTGACATTCTATCATATCTGTATTTGTTTCTTGTTGCCTGCCACACTTACTAAAATACAGGGGCTTTGTCGGTCCTGCAGGGAGACATGCCCAGGGGTGAGGGCCCATGAAGCGTTTAAAGAGTGTTGTTGTTTGAACAGATAACTTACTCATTTTGATTATGCTAAGCCGAATAAAAGAAAGCTGTAGGTGTTATGAACACAGATAATTAGGATTCTAACCTAGGGAATAAAAGAGGCCTTTCTCCAACAAATGGCTTTTACAATGGACCCTGAAGAAGGAGGACTTTGCCTGGAGAAGGAGTGGGAGGGTTTGAGTCAGCATTTTGTTACTAAATACTAGAGGCGAACAAAATACTAGAGGCAGGCTTCTTTATAAAGAAAAGAGGCCTATTTTGCTCCTGGTTTTGAAGGCTGGAGGTTCAGGCTCTGGTGAGGGCCTCTCTTGTCCACATCACATCCTGATGGGTGGTGTGGATGGTCTCTCTCCCTTTCCTTAAAGCCCATCAGATTCAATCATGAGGGCTCCCCCCAATGGGCTTGTCTAAACTAATCACTCTCCAAAAGCCCTACCTTTAAACAAATAGTGGGATTAACTTTCCACCCTCTTAATCCATTAACATAAGACATGGGGATTACACTGCCACATCAGTCCAGGGGAGAAGCCCTGCCACTCACTCCTAACAGGGCCTAGACTGTCCACATACCTAGGGCTAGGGACCATTGTTGTAGGACAGCATCAAGGTCTTGAGCTTTATTCTAAAAGCACTATGGACAGTGTTCAGAAGCGACACCACCACAGTTCCCAGTTTATGACCCTCTCTGATAGGCACAGAAGGAGCATTCTAATGTGAGCCTCCTGAAAGTCACCTGGCGTCCGATGGCTGGAGGGTTTCAGAGTGTGGAAGGGAGTGGGGTAAAAAGAGCTCAGCCAGGTTTATGGGGCAGCACCAAAGGTGCAACATTGTAACAGGCAACACCGGAAGGTGATGCCAGCAGAAGACTGGTACCTTTGTCCCTGAAGAGGACGCAGCACAGCCTCCTAGTTGCACAAATCAGCACATTTAGAAGGTGGAGGAAACTGAGAGGTCACACATGATGCCGGCTCACTGTCTCTTCCCTCCCTCGAGGCCACCACAGCCACAGCAAGCCTGTCTTTGTCTCCAGGACAAGCCCTTGCACCCTGCCTTCTCAACCCCAGCGGGAAGAGGCCACCTCTGGCTCCCCGTTACCTGCCGTCTTCTCCCTCACTACACTTCTCTTTGATCTCCCAGCCAGGACGCAGCCCTAGAAATGGCACACAAGAGCCATCCGGCCATTGTTTGTTGGTGTACATTGGCAATGGAGTTAAACGTCTCCTTTCTTCTCCCTTTCTGGGGGACACTTAGCGAATCCCATGGACTAGACACATGAACTCACTTGCATCCCTCTCCCAAGCACATGGCATGGGTCATTATTTGCGTATCCTTACCTCCTCCTGGGCTGCTCCCTTGATGCTGCAAACTACCATGAAGATAACTTTACTTCCTAAAGTACTCCTAAATTTTGGTTTTGGTTTTGATTTCTGCAATACTGGGAATGGAACCCCGGACTTCGTACATACTAAGCAAGCATACTATCACTGAGCTACATCCTTACCTTTTGAATTTTTTTCAAAATTTTATTTTGAAACAGGGTATTGTGAAGTTTCCCAGATTGGCTTCAAACTTGATCCTCCTGTCTCAGCCTCCTGAATAGCTGAGCTACAGCATATTTTGTGTCAACCCCATGAGTTTCTCAGATGAGTCTCATTTATCTTGGTATTGCCAATGTTGAGCATGATGTCTGGTACATGATAAGAGTGCAAATTAATTTTTGATGCATAAGTACATGAATGAATAAACTCAAATGTGCCCTGTGAAAATGTGCCCTTTAAGAAAATGGGCTGAAAAAATATATCCTAGAAAAATCCAAACGGGTAACAGGTGAATTAGGGGGTGATGTTCACAGGAATTCAACATCCCCTGTGCTTTCCTGGCCCCTCCCTCCACAAGCTCCCTTAGATAATGGTTTCTCTGGTAAGCTAGAAATTTGGTTCACTTGCAACATTGTAAACATCCAGTATTGTGCCATTGTACAAGCATCGTGAAGACATTCCCCTGCCTACCTGAGTCACAGATCTACACAGCCTGGCGGACACTTGGAGGAGGGGTAGGAGGAGAAGAGAAGCATCCTCAGCTGCCTGCTCCTCCCTCTGAAGCAATGAAAAGGCTGCACCAACCTTAAAAGGCAGAGTGATGAGAGGCAATGCTGTTTAAGCTAGGGATATATTCCGTAGGAATCTGTAACTCAGAGCACAAAAGGTGAAACTGCTCAAGCCCACCTCTATTCAGAGGCTGGCCTCTCCCCGATGAGACTACTACACTCCAAAGGGCTTCCTGGCTCCTAAAACACTGGTCACCTAACCCTTCCCAGTAAGGGTCCGAGGGAAATAACTCGCCCACGGAGAAGTCGATGTCCACATCAATATTCCCGAGGAAGAAAACCATTGCCCATTGAGGGAGATTGATTTTTCTCTTCCTTAAGAAATTCTCGAGGGTTAAACAACATTTTTAAAAATAGAGAAGGCAACCAAACAAGGCAATGTCAAGACCTTTATTTTCCCTTCCTCATTAGCATGATTCTCAAAAGTTATTAGTGTAATTATGAATGCCTTTTGACCTGCTGAAAACAGATTCCAGTTCCATTTTTAAAAAATCTTATCTTACTGACCAAGCGACAGGGCCTCAAAGACCTCCATTTATGCTCTCTACTTAATAGTGCTATTATACGCTTTTGAGTATTTTAAAACAATCGAAAATTAGTACAGAAAAAGAAAACTGATCATAGCTTTTTAACTTGAAGATTTAATAATGGCTACTTTTAAAATTTTGCAGTTTCTCCCTTAACTTGCTCGTTCCTACTTGTACCCCAAAATAATTAAACACTGAATCTAGCCGTTTAATGACTGCCTTCACAAAAGCAAGAGGTTTTAGGGAACGAAGAAAAAAGAAGCTTAGTTTATCTTATGTTTAGGATATTGGCTGAGCTGGTGGCTATTTAGACTGATCTACAAGGCTATGGCAGATCTTATAATGTCCAACACATAGGCTGCCTTCTTAGGCGAAATGTGTGATTGAAGGAAAGTCTGCTTTCTACCCTTTTGCAACTCAAAAAGTTGCATAAGAATGGACAGAGGGATGATTTGGGGAAAAGAGAAATGTCATTCAATTAATGTTTGTTGAAAAGGGTGTCATAGATCATTGGCAGAACTTCGCACTGGCAACTCCCCCACGCAGCAAAAGATTAATTGAGCACCCAGACTACAGAGCGCTCTGATGAGAAGCGAACAATGGGGTGTGGGTGATGGCAGAGGCCGAGACCCAAAAGCAACAGAAGTGAAGTCGGGCACCCCACCTTCTGCACGCAGGAATGATACCACCACACCACCGCAGATGTCGAGGAGCTGGACATGAGCTTTCTGCTGCTTTGTCCTTCGGTAGGATACAGTACAAGCCACATCCAGGGACCTCACTCCTCTTGGGTCGGAGAGAATGTTTTTGCAAGTGGTCTGAACACATGAAACCAGGAGCACGTTCACTCACTGGCACAGGGTCCTGACCTATATATAACTTGACCTTGGGAAAACCCAGACCAATGACAGATTCTTCTCATATAACAGTACATCCAATGACTGCTTATGATGCAAGAAAGGCCATATAGAATAAGAGCAGAGAACAGCAACAACTAAACATTTTAATTTTTTAACAATTAAGACTTAAGACCAACCCCCCCCATTTCTAAAAATTTGCATCCATAAGAAATAAAAATAAACTCGGTCCACTGAAAGTGCCAAATTAAATCATTATTAATCTGGTGATTTCCTACTTATTTAAAATTCAAAAATGATTATCATGCTTGGTAGAGCTGTAAGGTTGCTTATCATGTTACAAGACATTTTTGCTTTTCTTACGCATCGTAGAGGTGTTAACACTGAGCAACAGGGGACAGAAAAATCTAGAGGCATGAGGAATGGAAGGGCCAGGGGAGACAAATCTGGCCCTCTGAGGAGGAATCATGTCCTGACCATAAGAACACATCTGGGAGTTGATTCAAACTGACCTGGAACCAAACTGGACCTCCAGGCTGTGCTGTGTTCACACACAAACACAGCTGAGACTTCTGAAAGTGAAATTCCAGAACTGATCATCAAGGCTTAGCCCCCAAGAAAGATTTCCCTGACAGTCTCAGGCATAACTTCACCGGTTTCGCTCGGGTTCATGGCTGGTTTTCGGCAGGCTCGTCAGACAGGGCCTTTCCCTCAGGAGGTCGGCCTGGCCCTGCCCACCCAAGTGAGGTTCTGCAGGTGTCGGGATGTGGCCAGTGGGGAAGGAGTGGGTCACAGTTAGTTATTGACTGATTAGGGGTTTACCTTATCCCGCCATCAGGAGCTGGCTCAAGATTTCGGGGTAAACAATTTAGAGC